TAACAGCAAGTTTGTAACCAGTCACAGGCCATCAGCATCTCCCTCTGCCTTCTGGCAGATGGCCACACTCATATTAGCCTCTGATGGTGATAGCTTAATAGGATGGCCATCTGCCCAGCTGGTCATCAAACTCCTGGTAAAACAATGCAATCTAGCCCCCTGGTGACTGGTCCCCCAGCCTTCACCCACTAATGGATAACTGTGTGGCTGGCGAGGTTCTCTTGATTCCATTTTTCACTTCTGCCCAGATCACTTTCTTTTAAGCTGATGACCCCCTATAGGCCTCCAAACTCCCCCAAATTCTTTTTATTCTTTCTGTACCTCTCATTCATTCTTTCATCTCATTCATCTTAAGGACATTGGGGGTAGAGGAAGAAAGCACAGGCTACATGTGTTTGTAGATGCTTGCTGTTCACATAACTATTCATTTGTGACTTTTCAATAAACTAGCTGCCCAATACACAGACTGCTAGTGACAGCAGTCATCCTGGGCCTGTGACAGCCACTGGTTGGCCAGCCAAGTCCATCCAAAGAGTAGACGCGTCTGTGCTCCTTACCTGCCTCAGCCCTGATGACCATCCCAGTGGTACATGCATTCCCTGCTGGGGAGTGGCAGTAGGACAGGAATGCATGACAGAGTCACATTGCTGTTGGAAACACATGAATTTCCCCCTCCTTGTCTATTAAAGCTAGTCTGTGGTCACACACCAAATGTTACTGTTCTGAGCTGCCTGTGAACGGGGTAGGAGGGCCACAGGGGCAGGAGCAGGCAAAGTGCCAGATGACAACAACCCTCCAAAAGTCTGTTTCAGCCGGGGTTTAGTTTTATGGTCTTTCTTCAAACCCTCCAAGATCTCTCCTGTCTGAACTCTCCCCAGAAAGGAGAAGTGGCGGTCTATTTCAGTTAGTCCCCTCCTACTAAATATTTCTGGCAGTGACAAATATGCATTGAAATTGAAATTGACTTTTTAAGCTCTGGAAAAGTTAAAAATACTTTGGGGTAGTTATGAGCATTAGGCATAACAAATGGCTCCGAGCAACCCTGGGTAGTTTCAGTAATGAAATATAAAGTGATGGAGGTGGCATTTCAAGCTATGACTGGAAAGCCAACTCTTTCGATTATGTACATACGCTGTTATTAACATTTCTGGCTCCTACTCATATAAAATATCACACTCCGACCCCCTCGTTATTACAAACCAGGACAATAACAAAAACAGCAGGGTGGAAAGTGCTGGAAAGAACAGATTAGCCCATTGAATCTAATTGCAAAATCATTTCATTAAAATGGGTCAGCAGTTCCATTGCTAAGGTCCGCCAGTTGTAATCTAACTCCACTACAGAGAGTAGTCCCTGCTAACTACAGATTGCACTCACCTTGATTAAAATGAAAATGTATTTAATAGGCTGCTATCCCCAGCCTCAGCCTCAGCCTCAGCCTCAGCCTCAGCCCAGCCGGTGGAGTCTTCAGACTGGTCCCTTGTGTCTGTCTGCCTTTAATCAGAAGTTAGTGTTCTTCCCTTTTCAAAGAGTCCCACTATAGACACCTTCTGAAGGAAAAATACATGCTTGTGTAGGAAATGCCCCTTCACACCATCACTGTGTGGAACCATGGGCAGAAAACAAGAGCGGGCAGTCATCTAGCAGGGTTTGCACAGTGAAATTCTCCCAGGTCTCAGCAAGTTCATATGTCTGGGGGAAGATAGTCCAAGTGAGAATTATTCAATGGGATGAACACTGGCAAGCCAAGGGCAAAACACTTGCGTAACACGTTGGACCAGAAGGCCAATAACTGCACATGTCCCAACAGCTGTGGGGACATGTGCACAGATTTTGCTCATGCAAACCTAGAAGAAGGGGTTGAGAGAAAGGAAATGGCAGAGAAGAAAAGGAGGACAGGACCAGGTCTGTGACTCCCATTTTAGGTAGGAAGTGTCACTACAACATTAGAGGCCACCAGTGTCACTCCTGATCAGAAATTATGTGAAGAGCAAGAAAGCAAGAGTGTGGGAGACATGTGCCGCTTGCCTTACTAGCCCACTGCAGAAAACTGCCAATCAGTCCACGAACATTGATGTTATGGTCATTTCTGGAGGAACTAGGATAAAGGCCTCTCTTGTACAAAGTACATCTGTGGTAAAGCATAGTGTTATTCAACTGGACTTTGGCAGTACAATGCCTAGGTTCATCCTTCTGCCACATACTGAATGTCCGGCATGCCACAGTCTCCTCATCTCTACAATGGAGCCATGACACCCTCAGAGTGTTGCAAAGATTAAATGGAATCATCCATTTGAAGTGTGAAGACTAGCGCCTGGCTCATCAGACATACTCAGTAAATGTCAGATAGAATCACTAGCTGGGAAGCACAATGGCTCTATAGGATAAGCACTAAACTTTGAAATACAAGATCAGTGGTTTGAGCCCACCAGCTGCTCTATGGAAGAATGATAAGGCTTTCTGCTTCCACAAGGATTTAAAGCTTCAGAAACTCTATGGGTCAGAACCAACTAGACAGCACTTAACATCTGTAGCTGTTGTTGTTGTAAAGTGCTGTTGAGTTGGTTCTGACCTATAGCGACCCTGTATAGGGATTCCAAGGAGCAGCTGGTGAGCTTGAACCACCAACCTTGCAGTTCAAACGACTTTGCAGTCTGACGCATTAGCCCACAACGCCACACCAGGACTCCTCATCTGTAGCTACTCAGATGCAAAAAATGACATGTGTTCATGGTTTTTCACATGCCCAGTGATCTGCTACATTCTAGGAAAGGACAGTAGTAAAGTCACAGTATTTGAAAAACTGTTGATCCCTTCCCAAAATTCTCCACAGCTAACATCTTACTTTAACAACCCCTGTGAAATAGGGCCAATTATTTTATTCCTATTTTACCTTTGGGAAAACCGAAGCAAAGTCTCAACGACTGAACAAACCTATGACCGCTAATATTAGCTGGCTGGCTGACTGAATGGCTGTGTGCTGTGGAGTCGGTTCCGACTCATAGCGACCCTGTACAGGGTTTGCATAGGGTTTCTGAGACTGTAAATCTTTACGGGAGCAGAACGCCTCATCTTTCTCCCATGAAACAACTGGTAGTTTCGAACTGCTGACCTTGCAGTTTGCAGCCTGATTCATAACCACTACGCTACCAGAGCTCCTTGCTAATATTAGCTAAACTCTGTGAATACTAGAGCCCCATGTTGGTCTAATGCAAATAAGATGACCAAGGTAGTACCTGGATTAGTTAGGCTAATAGATTATTTTCACATTCTCTGAAACGCTTCCGAAATATTCACATACAGGACAATATTTGTACAAATTACACCTATTTGTTCATTAGGCCAATGTAGACTAAGCTCGTTTGTGCCTGTTGATAAGAAACACATGTTGGTTCCGACTCATAGTGACCCTGTATAGGGTTTCTGAGGAGTGGCTGATGGGTTTGAACTGCTACCCTTGCAGTTAGCAATCCAGTGCTGCCCAGTGCTTATCCTGCAACCCGTTTTGCTCCTAGAATTGTGCTAATGAAACATTGAAGGTGGATGAATGAACAAAACTGACTCTCACCAGCCAGCTCAGCTCTAATAGGAGAGGCAGACTTGCCACAATTACCCTGTAGTGGATTACCAGGTGCCAGGGGAGTGTTTCTGATCATTAAAGCAGCTCCCTAGGGCCTCTCTGTCAGACATGCCGTCGATCCTTGAGAGAAACTCAATTTCAAAAAAATGAATCTTTAACTCCAGCTTTTAGCCCATTGGAACTGGCCTTTTGGTATAGTTCAACAGAATTTACTCTCTCAGACAGAGGTCACATTTGACCTTGATACGAGTTTTACTTGTCTTCACAGTGTTCCAATCTGTATCCATTGCCAATATTTTGTAAATATTTGGCTTCTCTGGCAAAGCAAAAAGGAGTGTCAGGCCTCTTTGGACCAAATTTTCAAGCATGAGGGCTCTGGGCTGCAGTTCTCCCACCTCTGACCCCTCACTGTGGGCTTCCCAATGTAGAGTCCAGGTGTCACTGCATGCTTAGCCCCTATCACAGGTTAGGGCACTGTAGACAACTGAAGTTATGACCCTTCTTGTCCCACGTGCCCACCCCTGGCATAGCCTCATCAAATTCCCTGAAATCTCTTCATTTGTATTTTCAGGAACATTTAGAGTGCCCATGGAGTTGGTGAACCAGCCAGTAGTTGTTGAGTTGACTCTGACTGGGGACAACCCTGTGTGTGTCAGAGTAGAAATGTTGTGCTTTTTCTCAATGGGTAATTTTTCAGAATTAGATTACCAGATCTTTCTTCAGAGGAACCTCTGGTTATGGTTGGTTATGCTTAAGTGCCACTGAATCGGTTCCAACTCATAGCGACCTTGTACAGGGTTTCCAAGGAGCAGCTGGTGGATTTGAACCAACTGACCTTGCCGTTCAAACTGACCTTGCAGTCCAGTGCATTATTCTGCATCACCACACCAAGACTCCAGAGGAACCTCTGTTCTTGTTATTAAGTACCGTCTAGTTGGTTCCAAGCTATAGTGACCTGTTTAGGCTTTCCAAGGAGCGGCTGGTGAACTTGAACCTCCGACTCTGTGATTCAAACTGACTTTGCAGTCCAGGGCATTAACTCACAGCACCACACTAGGACTCCAGCAGAACCTCTAGCTAGACTCCAATCACCAACCTTCCAGTTGACAGCCAAGCATATTAACCATTTGCAGCATCCAGGGATACACCAAATATTTCAGAGTGCCAAAGAGCACTTCTCCAAAGAAATCTTCCATAATTTCCATCAACTTCTCAGAAAGGCATGTGATCCACAAAAGCTTAAGACCTCACAGATCCTCAGCACTGTCTCCACAGGGGCTGAAAGTGATGAATGACAAAGGCCAAATGAAAAGTGGGCAGTCTGTACGTTTCATATGAGTACCTCACACACACACCATTCTTCCCCATAACCTCAGTGTCCACACCTGTGGCGCTGACACCCCTCTTTGGCCTCTCCCAGGCTCCGAGGATTACCGCAGCAGGTTCAGCAGCGAGTGCTTCATGGACCTTGTGTGCCCGGAGAAGTGCCGCTGTGAGGGTACCATCGTGGACTGCGCCAATCAAAAGCTGCCCCGCATCCCAAGCCACCTCCCTGAATATGTCACCGATCTGTAAGTCTCTCTCAGTAGGGAACGTCTACTCCTCACCCCCCACACACCCAGTTACCCTGCACAGGATCTCAGATGGTGTCCACTCTCCATGGCTGTCCTCTAGTCATCCTGAGGACAGATCCTCCAAGTATCCCCTATGCACAGCTCGCACTAGGCATATTGTTAAGTCCCTCTTTGAACAATGAACTAAGCAGATAGTCTTTGCCTGCCTTTTGAAGCTTATAGTATACCCAGAAAGGTGGGTATTCAGTAAGTAACTATAATCAATCAAGGAGATAACTAGAACCCTTCATTCTCTCTCAGCCTCTGATCAATTGGCTGGGCTACTAAAGGCTTGTGTTGGTTTATCCAAAAGAGGAACAGCACAGGTGTGGGAACTTGACTGTTAGAGTTAGTCTTCCTGAGATTAGGCAAATGGCTTCTCAGATCTGGGTCTCACAATAGTTCTTAGCTGTAAAACAGGAATGACCATACATACCTCCTGACATGCCCAGTGTTCTTCTTGAATCCTGCTCCAGAGTAAGCCCTGGGCAAATGATGATTTTCTTCATTGTTATCATTGCTTCTCTTTGACTCCATAAATCATGGGAGGCAGCCCTAGTGCACTCTCTGAGCTGATATCAATATGGGTGTGGAGAGCCTAGACAACCCCTGGCAGATGGAAGTGGGCAGGAAGGTGCTTAGGGGCTTGGAAGATTGGGAGAGTCTGGGGAAACTTTCTTGGGAGTTTTAAGCTGCCTTTGGTAACCCCCCTACACATACCACAGAAAGGCAGATCACTGGCATTTGATTGGCTGCTGGAAACAAACCGTGCCTGTATTGAGTGTTCAAGGGGGAGGAGCCTGGTTTTCTCTGGGCCTTTCCTCCCCTTCCCACAAGCCACCGCTCTCTGCTGGGCCACCTCAGGCTGACAGGCAAACACTGATGGTTTCTATGGCTTCGTTGGCCTTCACGGATGTGATGTCCAGGCAGCCGTGGTGGGAGGCAGAGGAGAGGCAACCTGTGGGGGTACCAGGGTAGGATGGCTAGTGTAGGGGCCTGATCCACAGCTAACCCATCACCTCGTCTGCTTGCTTCCTGTATAGACGACTGAACGACAATGAGATATCTGTCCTAGAGGCCACTGGAATCTTCAAGAAGTTGCCCAACCTGCGGAAAATGTAAGTCAGCCTTAGGAAGTTGGCAGCAGCCTCCCCTTCCCAGCCAGGGTTGGCACTGCAGACAAACAGGGCATTTCAGCCCCCACCCCTCGTCCCTTGTCCCTCTCAACCTCCTCCTGACCCCTGTTGTGATGACATATTAGGAAGTAGGGCATTTCAACAAACATCCCTAGTTTTTAACTGTCAGGTAATGTTGTTAAGTGCCTTTGAGTTGGGCCCAACTCATAGCTACTCTATATAGTATTTCTCCTGTAGAGTGGCTGGTAGGCACAAACTGCTGACCTTGTGCTTAGCAGTCCAGTATTTACCCTATGATGGTGGTGGTAGTGTGCCGTGGAGTCCGTTCTGACCCATAGCGACCCTGTACAGGGTTTCCAAGGCTGTAAATCTTTACGGGAGCAGAAAGCTTCATCTTTCTCCCCCGGAATGACTCATAGTTTCGAACTGCGGACCTTGAGGTTAGCAGCCCAACTTGTAACCACTACGCTACCAGAGCTCCCACCACTATGCAGAGAGTATGTTCCCCACCACGCCCTACCCTTGTCCTTCTGTACATCCCTCTCTTGCCCCCTCATCTAACATCTACCCTGAGAGCTGGTGGGAGGAAACCAGGTGAGGTGTCTGGGGTGCATCTTAAGTAGTAAATGGCAACAGTGACAGGTCTGATTTTTGAGGACTCCAAAGTCACTGCATCAGGTGGTAGATCAGAGGGAAAAGCCAGCTGCCCGCCATGCTGGGTTTCATTCTAGGAGTCTCGGGATCTGGCCAGAGCCTGCGCAAAAAGCCCACATGTTTATACATTGGTTTCTCCACCCCCAGGGCTGCCCATGCCATAACCTCTCACTCCTTAGGAGTGGAGACAAGTCACTCAGATGACACGAGTCATATTGCTGTTGTGCTGCTGGAGCTCTTAGCAAGGGTCAGGTGGAGTGCCCCCTGCTTCATGTGCATGCTCTCACCGAGTCCTCACACCCAGGCTCACATTGGGTTAATGTCCGTCTTTGTGCAGAGGAGGAAACTGAGGCTCAGAGAGGTTCCCTGACTTCTCTAAGACCACACAGCCCATAAGTGTCAGAGCTACATTCAGCCCTGTTAGATACCAAAGCCTGAGGCTATCATCATACCGGTGTGAGGCTGGGCTTGGCCCTCCCACCCTTCCTTGTCCACTTGCCCCAGCAGAGGTCCTGACTCATTACCATCTACTTCCCAAGAGTACCCACTTTTAAAAATCAGACATTTTTACATAGACATTACATATACCAAATATGGGATTCTCTAGCATCTTTTGAAAAATCGAAAGATTGGCAAAACTGAGCCCACAGTCCCAAATGTTTCCAGTTGAGCTGAGCTGAGGGACCACCGACTCCTGCGATGGAACATGTGCTTTTCTGATCACTACCACCCTGGGGCTTGCTGCTTTCATTAAGTCACCTGCTTGAACCCTGCAGATCCTTGAGTTGCAACCACAGATGAAGTAACCTTTCCACCACAGCAAGAGGGAGAGTTCCATAGGAGGCAGATACTTACTCAATCAGGAGCCAGTATACTTGGTTCCCAGAAAAAGAGGTCCTGTCTGATCCCTTAGTGCTCCCTCTATTCCATTTCCACCAGGGGCTGGGTTTTAGACAAGATTATAGCTCTTCACTGTTGTCAAGCAGAGATTGTGGCCTGCCCTTACAAACCTGAAGAGACATGAGCCTAGAGGACACCATGGTTGCCGCAGACGGCTCAGGCTTTCCAGAGGCAGTCAGATAAATGGCCCAGCCTTAGGAGGCCTCTGCGTCTCTTAGGAAAAATGAGACTGAGTCTTAAAAGAACATCTGCAGTTTGCAGAAGCTGTGGGATTAAGCACTGGATTTGTCTTGCCGCAGACCCCTGGGAATGAAACCTGGGCCTGAGATGGACATTCCAAGACTTGGTCCTCTCTGGTGTAAGACCCACCATCCTCCTCAGATTAAAAGACATGATTAAACACAGTTCTTCTCTAGCTTAGTCTTCAGAGATGAAGATGAAGGGATGTCTCCAGGTGGCCCCAGCAGCATTACACCTCTGGGTATTCTGAGATGCTGATGATGTTCTGAGAATACAATTGAGCTCTTACAAAACTCCCATAACATCATTATGCTTCTGGAGTGCTTACCCCAAACTGAGCTTGCTAGGTTCCAGTCCTTGCCACTTATCATTTTGAACAGTGCTTTGATCAACAACCAGGTCTTCTGGAACATTCTCTCCCCACCCCACCTCTCTTTTTTTTTTTAAACTTTTCCTCTGTTTTCTATTCTCCCAGGCAGAGGAAATCCAATTCAAAAACAGTGTAGTGATGTGCTGTTAATTTTGCTCATTTAAAGAAGCAGATGTCAGGAAATGGGAGCCCTCGCACATCATGGCTGTTCTAACTCATCTTCATTGCTTATCCTATGCACTCCAATCCCCTAGGAAGCCCGGCTCTCTGCACCAAAATCTTTCTCCTCTGGCATTTGGGTGACTTATAGCTTCTGAGAGTCTTTATCTCTCCCTCTCATGACTAATTTGGAAGTAATTTGCAGTCTCCCCAGTGCATTACCTTCATCCCTAGGTTTTTTTCCTAGGCCAGGGCTACCAGATTTATAAGAAACCAGCTGAATTGAAGGCAATCCAGGCAAGGAACAGAAATCCAGCTGAGGAGCCCCCTAACTCAGACCTGGAGGGGGACTCAGAGGAGTATTTTCTCATGTGTTCTTGTCAGGAAGGGATGGGAGGAGGAGGACAGCAGGGTCATGATGAGAAACACAGATGGTAGAGACGATTTGAGAGAGAGAACAGAGGCACGAGCGGTGCCCTCCACATCATCCCCAGGTGCACTTAGGAAGAGGGAAAGTGGCCTCAGTGAGCCCAGGGGTCCCAGGCCTATCACTTGTTCAAGGTCAGTCGCTAGAGGAAGCTTCTCCCCCTTGAGAAAGGACATGATGCAGCACTGATGTTTCCCTCAGATACACTATGACCTGGAGCACCACCCTCTCCTCTAAACCTCAGGGTGTACTGCAATGAAGTGGACAGCTAGTCTATCTCTGGAGTCTGGTAGCATAGACAGTTACTATGCTTGACTGCTAACTGAAAGATTACAGGTTGGAGCCCACTTATAATTGCCTCAGCCATTGAAAATCGTATGCTGCACAATTCTTCTCTTGACACACATGGGGTCACCATGAGACTGAGTCAACTAGATGGCAACTTGTTTGGGCCTGGTGCCACTTTAGTGAGCCCACACATTCTAACAGGCTCAGGGGCACTGTAAAAATTACAGACTTCATCCTCATCCAGAAGATGGGTTCCCCAGAAAAACTATGATAACCTGTCTGTTCAAGAGGCTCAGTTCCTTCCTTTGCTTGTATATACACCATCACTTCCGGCTCCAGGCAGCAAGCCTTAGATGCCTTTGGTGGTTGTTGTTAAGGACCGTTGATTGGTTCTGACTCATTGCCTGTATAGGGTTTTTGAGAAGTGGCTGATGGGTTTGAACTGCCAGCCTTGCCATTAGCAGTCCAGTGCTTATCCTAAAGCACCACACCAGGGGAAATCTAGTTCACAAACATTGCAGTGACGCGGTGTTGCTTCTGCTCATTTAAAGAAGCAGATATCAGCAAACAGAGACCTTCCAGTCATAGCTGCTCAAACTCATCTTCATTGCCCTCCCTCTGCACTCCAATCCCTGAAAAACCCAACTCTGTAGCAAAAGCCTTCTCCTCTGCTCTCCTTGGCCCCTTCACCTGCCACATTGAACCAGGAACTCACAGCGCTAATGGTTCCCCCAGGGTCTGCTTGTTCTTCTGATCTCTTGTGAAGCCTATGGTGTGGGGTCAGCCCTGGACATTGGTGAGAAGGACTATCTCAAAGTTCAGGGTGCACCAAGGGCTTGATGAGAAGGAGCCCGCCTTCACAGACACACTGTCCCAAGCCTCGAATTCTGCAATATTGTAAGGGGGTTGTATCTACATCACCCCTGGAGCTGGTAGATGGCTGTTGTTAAGTGCCGTGGAGTCAGTTCAGACTCATAGCAATCCTATACTGAATTTCTAAGGAGCAACTGGTGGGTTTGAACCACCAACCTTGTGGTTAGCAATCTAGTGCTCATCCTACAGCGCCACACCAGGAATCTTACTTGCAAAGGAGATTGTCCAGTATAGCACTTTTTTTTTCCTTTTTATTGTTAGTTTTCCTTTCTACAATTCATACATGTCTTGTTCTGTAATGTTAGCTGCAATTCTCTCAGTGTAAGAACACCTTCTTTCTTCTTGCATCAACCATCAACACTCATGGAAGCAGCAGTCAGGAAATCAAACGACGTATTGCATTAGGCAAATTTGCTCTATAAGACCTTTTGAAAGTATTGAAGAGCACAGATGTCAGCTTGAGAACTAACGTGTGCCTGACCCAAGCTACAGTATTTTCCATTACCTCATATGCATGCGAAAGCTGGACAGTGAATAAGGAAGACCGTAGAAGAATTGATGCATTTGAGTTATGGTGTTGGAGGAGAATAGTGAAAGTACCATGGACTGCCAAAAGAACCAACAGATCTGTGTTGGGCAAAGTGCAGCCAAAGTGCTCCTTGGAGGCCAGGATGGCCAAACTTCGTTTCTCATACTTGGGACATATTGTCAGGAGGGACCAGTCACTGGAAAAGGATATCATGTTTGCTGAAGTGGAGGGTAAGAGAAAAAGAGGAAGGCCCCCAGTGAGATAGAATGGCAAAGTGGCAGCATCAGTGGGCTTAAGCATGACAACAAAGTGAGTTTCACCCAGGATCAGGTAGTGTTTCGTTCTGTTGTACATAGGGTCACTATGAGTCGGTACCAACTCGATGGCACCTAACAAAAACAACAACACGCTTCCTGCTGGCTCAAGGGGTTCCCCCGTTTTCACTCATCCTTCTTTCCTATCCCTTCCTAAGCTATGTTTTGGAGCAAATGCTGCTCTTTTCGTGTCGTATGGCTGATAACTGAAGTGTACGTCCCTTACGAGCTACATTATTCACTGTATAGGCCTGTCTGTTGTTTGGCTACAGGGTGAACCCCAGGGGTGGGTTTGCTTCCAGATTTGAATGGTATCTAAGGAGGACAGTCTTTACCAGATCCTGCCTATATGAAATATCTATAATCAGCAAATGCAAAGAGACAGAAATTAGACTAGTGGTTAGCATATGCTGGAGGGAGGAGAGAATAAGATCATGTCACTTAATAGGTAGAGAGTTTCCATTTGGGTTAATAGAAAACTTTGCAAAACAAATCATTATGGCTGTATAGCATTGTGACTGTGATTAATGCCATCGGATTATGTACTTGAAAATGGTTGAAATGGAAATTTCTATGTTGTGTGTATTTTATGACAATAAAAAATTCAATCAAAAAGGGACTAGCTATGTGACAGGCATTGTTTCGAGGATTTGATGAGTTTATGTTGGCCAAATTCCTCGCGTGGTACCTAATACATGTAAGCGCTCAGTAGGGAATAACTACAAAGTGTCCTTTATATCAGATTCTCAGCAGGTGAGAGACCTGGAAGGTCCACAGATGCCCCTCTCTGGGCATAGCAATAGCCAGGAATATTTTTCTCCCACCCACCTCTTGAGAAGCACTGCTTGATGAGAATATTTGTGGAAGAGGGAAAATCCCTTTGAGAATCACTATTTTAAATTTGTTGTTGTTATTAAGTGCTGTTGAGTTGATTCTGACCCATAGCAACCCTGTATAATGCTTCTAAGGAGCAGCTGGTGAGCTTGAACTGCCAACCATGTAGTTCAAATGGCTTTGCAGTCTGGAACATTTACCCACAGTGCCACACCAGGACTCCAAAGACTACAAAATCATGGAAACCTTTACTCAGCAACAAAATCAAGCTATGAAGCTCTTGTTTCTCCACATTTCCTCGACCTAAGTCTAGAAACACTTCTGAGGGTGGTATTTCCATGTCTCTACCCATCCCCAAAGGAGCTCTGGTTGCATAGTGGTTATGAATCGGGCTGCTAACCTCAAAGTCAGCAGTTCAAAACTACCAGCTGTAAAAAAACTACCAGCTGTTCCATGGGAGAAAGCGGAGACTTTCTGCTCCCATAAAGATTTACAGCCTCGGAAACCCTGCACAGGGTCGCTGTAAATTGGAACCAACTCCACAGCACAACAACAACCCATCCCCAAAGAATTCTACACTCTTCTATTTACACCACAGCAAACTGGCAGTTTTAGCAATCTTAAGGGATTCAAATCATGTCCCTTTTTAATGTTCTTTTGAGTTTGGAGAACAAAAAGAGGTATGAAGAGGCATGATCAGGTCTGTTGGGTGTGTGGGGTAAGGCTTCCCAGTGAAGTATTTGTAGGAGAACCCTTGCTACCTTTGAAGAATGTGCAGGTGCACTGTCGTGATTTTTAAAATGTCGTGATTGAAAAAAATGTCTCCATGCAAATGTCCTGACCTTTTTCTTACCAATGCAACTCTTCAGTGTTCTTAAAATGACTTCATAATAAGCCCTTTATGATCATCCTGTGTCTTTCAAGAAAATCTGTCAAGATTAACCCCTATGGGGTCCCAAAACCAGTCGCTGTAATCTGAGCTGATCTCTCTAGAATTTAACTGTTCCCACTGATCCCCTCAGAAGTCACTATTTTGATTGGATTTTTTTGTTGTTTTTAAAGACACCCTAACAAGACTACAACAAATTTATTACTGAGAGAGCTTGTCTGCAGCCATCTACTGATCACAGAGACATGTTTAAACCAAATATCAGGGAGTCCAAAACTGAACTTGTATCCATGTCAGCCCTCAGCCTCAGAGTCCCAACAGTCTCTAGTTGGTGCAGCCTATACCTCCCTGCCCCCTTGACGCTCTCCTGTTCTGCCCCATCGGTCTAGAAACCTGAGTAACAACAAGATCAAGGAGGTACGTGAGGGCGCCTTTGATGGAGCCGCCAGCGTGCAGGAGCTGATGCTGACGGGCAACCAGCTGGAGTTGGTGCATGGACGCATGTTCCGTGGCCTCAGTGGCCTCAAGACCCTGTGAGTAGCCCTGGCCCCAGGCCAAGGTCCTGAGGGAGATGGGAGGGCAGGGCTGTCAGAGCTAGACTGTGATCAGTAATTGACTGGACCCAGAAGCTGGCCAGACCTGCTGAGTCCTTCCCTTCACAGAGCCAGAGAGTCTGCTGACATTGTCCATCTTTGTGGGGAAAGAACATGGCATGCCGACCACCCGTTACCACACACATATGTGGGTACATTTATATGTGTATGCACATGCTCAAAACCATCCAGCTAGATCTGCCCACATATATAGATCTATACCACAAACACACTCACAGAGAGACACAAAAACACATGCATGTACCCACACAGATACATGTACATAAAAAGGACACAGAAACATACATCATGCACCATGAACACCAACATATATATAGACAGGCACATGTACACAAGCACACATACACACACACTGAGGTTGACTCTCCGTTTCCCCTTAAGGGAAAAAAAAAAAAAAAAATATATATATATATATATATATACACACACACACACACACAGATTAAAAACCATACAGTACACATGTAAACATGCATGTGGCACATGCTTCTATTGTAAATAAAGCACACACAAGCAAGAATATTTGACTGCATTTACAGGTAGCCCAGCTGGGGATCCAGGCCCTGCTGTCCCAGGACAAACCTGAGCAACATGGCTAGAACTATAGCCAGCTACGCACACAATCACAATCGTGTGCATACACCCACCCGCCCTCACTGTGGTACTGTTGTGGAGGGGGGCCGGAGGAACATGTCTGTGGTCCCTCATCCCCACCCCTCCCACCACAGGATGCTGAGGAGCAACCTGATCAGCTGTGTGAGCAACGACACCTTTGCTGGCCTGAGTTCAGTGAGGCTGCTATCCCTCTATGACAACCGCATCACCACCATCAGCCCTGGAGCCTTCACCACGCTTGTCTCCCTGTCCACCATGTAAGTCTTCCTGGACCTCCAGGACTTCTCCTCTGTGGACCTCTCCCTCTCCCCTCCCACTCTGTTATTTTCGGCCAAGACCAGTCTTTCTACACACCTAGTAAATAGTCATTGGGGGCTCCCTCTATGTGCCAGGCACCATCTAACTGCTTAGAATGCACTCACCGAGCAAAGCAGGCCTGAAACTCCCAGCATAGTGAAGTGCCCAGAAGGAAAGGCCACAGTGATGTGAAACCCCACATAAACTTTATTGAGGAGCACTAGAACTGTGTTCTGGAAGGTGACTGTGAGTTAACTGCTGGGAAGTGTGTTCCATTCAGAGGGAAAAGCTTGTGGTGGGGTTGGAGCCCAGCAGTTAAGGGAGACTGAGCAATGCTTGATGTAACCATACCCTAGATTAAAAAAGGGGGTGGTATAAGGTGGAGATCCTGTATGAAGAGGAGGTTGAACCAGTGGTAGAATCTGACTTTTAGAAGGATGCCACTAGCTGCTTCACACAGCAAGGGGCCTGAGCCATAGGCAGCACCTTCACAGGTACCTGTTACCAGTGCTCCAAAGAGCCTTTAGGGGACAGGAAAGAAAGGCAATTGCTGTGTTTCCTGTTCTTGTCCCTTGTCATGCTGACATGTGCCATTCTGGCTCAGAGTAAAAGTCAAAGTCACACCTATGTAATCTAGTCCCCCATGACCAGCCTCCCCACTCCCTCCATCCCAGGTCCTGGCCTCCTTGCTGTTCCTCCAATTCCCAGGCCCACTCCCACTTTAGAACTTGGCACAGCCCTTCCCACACCCTAAATGCCCTTTCCTCTGACCTCCCACTCCTTCTTCCATTCTTTACTCACATGCCCCCACACGTACCTTGTGATGCCAGCCCCACCCTCACTCACTCTTGCTCTCCTTCCTTTGTCCCATGCTGTTTCTGTAGTTGTTAGCTGCCATCAGGGCAGTTCCCAGTTCGTGACTACCCCATGCACAACAGGATCAGATCATTATGATCCATAGGGTTGGGTTTTCGTGGCTGATATTTGGAAATAGATCACCAGGCCTTTCTTCCTACTCTCATTTAATCTGGAAGCGCTACTAAAACGTGTTTAGCATCATAGTAACACAAAAGCCTCCAGTGATGGAGGGTGGCTGCACATAAGGAACATTGGACAGAAATTGAACCCAGATCCCCTACATGGAAAACAAGAATCATAGCACCAACCATTTCCTAACGCACTATGCTATTTACTTATGTATTATTCATTGTATGGTATCTGCCTCTCTTCTGCTAGAATTTAAGTTCTGAAAGGACAGCCATATACAAGGGTGCTTCAAAAAGTTCCTCGAAAAATGGAATAAAGAATAATGGATTTTTTTCGGAAACTTTTTGACGCTCTCTCCTATGTCTGTTTTGTTCATGGCTTTTGGGGCACAATGGTTAAGGGCTCCACTACTAGCCAAAAGGGCAGCGGTTCCAACATACCCATCCACAGCTCTGCAGGAGAAAAGGCCTGATATTGGATGGTGGTGGTGGTTATGTGCCATGGAGTCAGTTCCAACTCATAGTGACCCATACAGGGTTTCTGAGGCTGTACGTCTTTATGGGAACAGAAAGCCTCCTCTTTCTCCTGCGGAACAGCTGGTAGTTTCGAACTGCTGACCCTGAAGTTAGCAGCCCATTTTGTAACCTCTGTCCTTCCAGAGCACCTCTGTAAAGATGGTTGTTAAGTACCGTTGAGTCAGCTCTGACCCATAGCAACCCTATATAGAGTTTCCAAGGAGCAGCTGGTGAGCTTGAACCACTGATCTTGTAGTTGAAATGGCTTTGCAGTCTGGCTCATTAGCCCACAGTGCCACACCAGGACTCCCTGTAAAGATTGTTGTTGTTGTTATTATGTGCCGTGGAGTCAATTCTGACTCATAGCAACCCTGTACAGGGTTTCCAAGGCTGTAAATCTTTATGGGAGCAGAAAGCCTCATCTTTCTCCCACAGAACAGCTGGTAATTTCAAACTGCTGACCCTGAGGTTTGCAGCCTGATTCGTAACCACTATGCTACCAGAGCTCCTTCAGCCTAGGAAATCCTATAAGGCAGTTCTACTCTGTCATCCAAGTTTGCTATGAGTCAGAATCAACTCATTAGCACACAACAGCATATCCTCAATACCTAGATCTGTGCCTGGCACATAGCATATGCTATGTTGAAGAAATGAATGAATGGCATCAAGGGGAGGGCATGATGGGTTAGGAACTAGCACCGGTGAGTTGGTTCTGTTTAGCTCTCATGTACCTGCCTCCACCATGTATCCCCACACTGAGGAGTCAAAGACGTGTGCAGCAGAGTCACGAAGCATGAAGGGGAGCAGCTTTGACATGTGAAGGCATTTGCCTAACTTAGCACAGCTCCTGGGGAATCCTGGTGTGGCACTGTTGGATAAGCACGACCGCAAGGTCGGTTTGAAGCTCAAGGTCAGCAGCTCAAACTCACCCTCCACTCCTTGGAAATCCTACGTAGGGTTGCTATGAGCTGGAACTGACTGAATGGCACTTTACGTTACATTACAACATAGCTCTGAGTGTTCAGCACCAGGATTCAAACCCACGAGTGTCTATCTCTGAAGCTCCTAACAGCCATGTCATGCCACAGGCTCTCGGGAGGCTGTGTGGTCCCTCATTTAACCTGTGTAAGCTTTGTTTTCCTCACTTGTGAAAGTGAAGTGACAGTGATGTCAGCTCCCTCATAGGGTTGTCATGATAAGCACGAATGAGATATGGATTTATAAAGTGTTGAACCTGGCTCCAGTCATAGAGTAAACATGCAGGAAGTGAAAGCTGCTCTTCTTTCTACAAATACGTACAAAACACTTACGGTGATGGAATGCTAGGTCCTGGACATACAGGGGCAAACACACCTGGTTCCTGTCCTCATGGCACGTAGAGCCCAGTGCGGGAGACAGACCGTGAACAAGCACAGAAAACAATCATTACAAACTCTTGTAGGTAAGGAGCCCTGGTAGCATTGTGTAAACTCTAAGATTGGTGGTTCAAACCCACCAGCCACTCTGAGAGAGAAGGATGAGGCTGTCTGCTCTCGTAAAGATTTACAGTTTGGGAAACCCTCTATGAGGTTTTCCTGTGAGTCAGAATCGACTCAGTGGCAATGGGTTTGGGTGTTTCTTGGGGAAGTAGGGGTTGGAGATAGGGGATGTGGATGAAAAGAAGCTGTGGAAGGAAAGAATGGGACAGGGCTGAACGTTCCTGGTTTAAATGAGGAGTTCTGGGAGGGCTTCGAGGAGGTATCATTTAATATGAGGACTAATGACAGGGAGGAGCCAGGCAGGCAGGAAGGCCAGCATGTGTGACAGCTCTCAGTAGAAATGAGTGCTCTGGTAGCGTTGTTGTTGTTGTTGTTGTTGTTAAGTGCCATCAAGTTAGTTCCGACCCATAGCAACCCTGTATAGGGTTTCCAAGGAGTGACTGGTGAGCTTGAACCACCAACCTTACAGTTCAAGCGGCTTTGCAGTCTGGTGCATTAATCCACAGTGCCACACCAAGACTCCTCTGATAGCTAGTGGTTACGAGAATCGGGCTGCGAACCACAAGGTCAGCAGTTCGAAACTACCAGCTGTTCCGCCGGAGAAAGATGAGGCTTTCTGCTCCCATAAAGATTTACAGCCTCAGAAACACCGTACAGGGTCGCTATGAGTCGGAACCGACTGCACAGCACATAACCGCCACTGAGGAACTGAAGGTAGTTTCATGGATGGAACTCAGTGAACAGGGAGGGTGTGTACTTACTCCTCTAGGACTTCCATAAGAAAAAAGTATGAAGTGAGTGGCTTGTAAGAAAAGAAATTTATCTTCCCATGGTTCTAGAGGCTACAAGTTACAGATCAAGGTGTCAACTCTGTTGTTTTCTTCTAAGATCTGTGAGGAAGCGTCTGTTCCGTGCTTTCCTCCAAGCTTCTGTTGGCTGCCCCCCAGCCATCTTTAGCTTTTCTTAGCATGGAGGTGCATTTACCTCGAATGGGGGTCCTTCCTCTGTCTCTTCTTCTAGGATCCAGTGCAATATAAGTGAAAGCATGTTTCTCCTCTGCTCATATTCAATCCTCCCATCTCACGTAGAGTAACACAGCCAAAGTTTTCACAATGATTTCCCTGTTCTGCTCTGCCCCCTGCATGCCCTCTGATTTCATCTTCTCCTCTTTTATTATAAAAACATTGGTGATACACATAGAGCGTGACGACCCACCCTACTGACGAAGCCCAATATGACCTCATGTTAACTGATAGCATCTTCAAAGAAGGTCACCTTCATAGGTACCGAGGGTTATGACTTCAGCATGTGCTTTAGGGAGTTGCAATTCTGTCCATAACAGGGTGGCCTGAGACCAAGGGCTGGATGAGACATTTGAAAAGACTGTGTCTGAATTGTGGATGATAGATTGTCTACTTTCCCATTTCCAGGCTGCCTCTTCCCTCTCCAGGATCCCTAACAAACCCCGTGTAGAGATCTAGGGCCCAGATTACAAAACTAGATCTCAGGGTCAGCTCGCACACAGAAAGGTCGAGGGTGTCTACTCAGAGACGTCTTTCTCTTCTTCCAGTAACCTCCTGTCCAACCCCTTCAACTGCAACTGCCACCTGGCCTGGCTCGGCAAGTGGCTGAGGAAGAGGAGGATCGTCAGTGGGAACCCCAGGTGCCAGAAACCTTTCTTCCTCAAGGAGATTCCCATCCAGGACGTGGCCATCCAGGACTTCACCTGCGATGGTGAGAAGATTGGGGAGGTACAGCTGGGAGGCATGGAAGATGCAGGAAGGGAGACGTGTAATTGCTAGAGATGTGGCTTCTGGCCAGGACCCCCTGAGATACCATTCCACTCTGCTCTCAAGCGTACAGCTATTACTCCGAAGAGGCTCAGCAGACTTCCATGTAGCCGGCATGGCTCCTTTCTAAAGGCATTATGTTTCCATCAGTAGGAAAAGTATCAAAATACACCGATTTTGTTAAAACTAGACACTTGGTGCCATCTCTGATAACACCGCTGTGCTAAATATAAGCATCTCCCATTTCCACAGTGAAATTGGGGCCCCTAGACATGGTATCCTGGTATGGCGGTGTAGGATCAGCACTGGACTTCTAACTGCAAGATTGACAGTTCAAACCCACGAGCTGCTCCTTGGAAACCTTATACAGGGTCACTAAGGGTCAGAACTGACTCAACAGCACTTAGCAACAATAAGATGTGGTATCTTTGTGAAGTACACAACCTACGCAGCTGCACGTGGAAGCTCTAGGGCTCAGTCTTTTTGCTTGCATCACAATGAGACTTCAGTTCCTGAAAGGTCCTATTACTGGCTAGGGGGCATGTTCGTGGAAAAATGAAACTGAAAGATAATGAAATTTTCCACAAACTTTTTGAAGTCCCTTCATATGCCTGGAAGACCCTAGACTTTGAAAAAGAATCCCACAGAACACCTTTGCTTGCAGAAAGCAAGCCAGCAGTAATTCTTTACTTCATCAACTGTAGGTTACCTAGTGACATATTAACTGGTTTGCAAGGTGACGGTGAAATGGGAACTGGGAACAGACTCACTACCGCAGAGTGTAGTTGAGGGAGGGGAGATAGAAGGAGGGAATAGATAGGGCTCTGTCCCCACTGGTGGCTGCTCCTTCAGGAATTTTGTCTTATTCCTTATTAACAGTGAGCTCCTTCCTATCACTTGCATTTATCGGTCCTTAGGTCACCTCCTTTACAGTCTTCATTTTGCACTGAATGCAGTAAAAAGCAGGCAACCTTCTCCCCATCCCAGGCATGCATTCTTTCCCCTCCATCCCTGGATGAGACCAGCAAGTAGTTTATTCCTGGTTCTCGCTCTGAGGAGTCAGGGGAATGCATCCCTTGCTGAGGCAGCTTAACTGGGGTCACCCAGCCTTGCTCATGGGCGTCCCCTAGTGGAGTATGTCTCCCACCACACTCACCCACTCTGGGACTCTCTCCACAGACAATGATGAGAGCAGTTGCCAGCTGGGCCCACGCTGTCCGGAGCAGTGCACCTGCGTGGACACAGTGGTACGATGCAGCAACAAAGGGCTCCGTGCCCTCCCCAAAGGCATTCCCAAGGATGTGACCGAGCTGTAAGTACCCTCACCCTCTACTGAGCATGCTCCATCCCCCCACTGCCCACATCCTCAATTGTGCAGGGTGAATGCAGCGTTCAGCAGACGCTACAGCTTTCAAAGTGCTTTCTCTATCTAATATGATTGTACTCTGCCTTCAAACCATCCCTATCAAACAGGGTGCCCATTGCACAGATGGGGAGACAGTCTTTGTACTGAGTCCTGTTAACACTCAAAACTGGAGCCTTCTTATCTCACAGCCCATGCTCCTAATACTAATTCCTTCAGTTTGAGTCCTGCCCCCGAAGCTGCTGAAGATGCTGTTCCCAGCTCTTCATATTATGGAGAAAATCTCATTTCTGCTCCTGTGGAAAGTTCAAAGAGATAGTCAAGACATAGTCCCATAGTCAAGGGGAACTTTCTGGAATATGCACACTCACTCAGTCAGTGAAAAGCATATTCGTATTTGCACGCATTCATTTGTTTGTTCATTCATTCATTCATTCCGTCAACACATGTATCAAGCGCTCCTGTGTGTTAGGGGCTGTGCCGACATTGGTGACAGAGAGCGGTGACAACACAGGGCGGGGGGTGGTGCACTCACAGTTTACAGGGGGACATGAACCTTTGCTCAGTCATTTCAGAAGCACGTGAAAAATAGCAACTGTGAACAAAGTGCTACAGACAGACAGAGGTGCAAGGTTTCTGTGCCATGTGAAAGTACAGAGGTCTGACTTAGATGTGCAAGCAAAGAAATCTCTGAGAAATGATACTGGGGCTTGTACCAAGGCTGAGCAGAAGATAATGAGAAGGGAGGGAGGAAGGTTCCAGACTGAAGTTGCTCCTGAGAAGAGGCCCTAGGTTGGGAGCAGCAGAGTCGGTGTGAGGGGCTGAGAGAAACGCTGAGCAGTAAGGCATGCGCACACACATCTCATGCTTGCCCCCACCCTCTCACAATCACAGTGCACATTCTCCCCCAGGCCAGCTTGGCAAACACAAGCCGGTGAGTGAGATCCAGTCTCCTGCTAGGAGTACTGCTCCCAGACGTCCTGTCAGTGACTCTGAGGGTGGAGCTTGAGTGTGTCTGTTTCTTAGAATAGCAGATAGATGCTTGGGTGAGTTTTGTGGCTCCTGGCATCTATCTGAGCTCAGGGAAGCTGTAACCAGAGCTGCCAGCCAGAGGGGAGGTCTTAACAGTCCCTAAAAAGTCTCTGTGGGCACTGGGTTTGGGCTGTGGCCATACCCTTGAAGATCTGGGTAAGGGAGCACCACACCCTCCCCTGGAGCCTGAGGGTGAGAGTGTTGGGGGTTGGGCCACCAAAAATGCTCCCAGTGCACATGTCCTTCCTAGGCTCAATGAGTACCAAATGGCACATGTCAGAGGGAAGAAAATGCCATGAAAACAAGGTCATGGATACTGTTCATCAAAGCTCCTGAAACAAAGGTTGAAATAGCAAAGATAATTGGACATAATTATAATGTCAACCTCAGAGCTTTGGGAGGAGACCTTGTTTCCGGCTTTGGAAATGGCCGGGTCTGGTTTCCAAAACTTGCCAAGGAAAGCAGCCCTCTCGTATGTCCCCCAAATCATCTCCTCAGCATCCTTCAGGCTGAGGGGCTGCAGGGAAGGGGTAAGCAGAACAAGGGGTCTAGGGGGGAAGTGAAACCTGGCAGGGTCAAAACACTGCTGCTTCAAAGATGTCAGCTGAATCCCAACCCATGCACACACAGGTCTTCTAGCACACACCCCAGCCTACCCTGCCTGCAACATCATTAGTTACATTGGGCAGAACTGCCACTTCACAAAATAAAATCCTCTCTAATTCACTGAAAAGAAGGAAAAAAAAAGGTACAGCTGCACACTTTTCCCCAAAGGGCAGGTTGAGGGCGCCTGTTGCTAGCCTGCCTGAGTGGACGGTGATATTCCCTCTTTCAGCCCTCACTCTGTGTCCTTCTCTGTTCTCTCTTACCTCCTCTCCAGTGAGTCAGACCAAACTGAGTCTTTATTCACTTACTGAGGACACTCGTCCCTATGAGTCCTCGCTAAGGCAGGCCTGTAGGAACCTTGCCTTCTTTTTTAAAAAATAGTAAATATATGTGTGTAGTATATGTACTAGACTACTAACCATAAGGTTGGCAGTTCAAACCCACCAGCCACTCTGTGGAAACCCTATACAGCATTGCTATGAGTCAGAAGTGATTCAACTGCACTTCACAACAACAACATATATGTAACGAAACACTTGTCATTTCAACGTCTTTTATATGTACAACTCAGTGACAGGTTTCATTCTCCATGTGTATAACCATAATCTCTATCCAATTCCAAATGTTTCCATCATCCTTAACAGAAGCTCAGTGTCTCCTCAGCAAAGAATTCCCCTGGTCCTTACCTGCCCACCCAACCCTGGTGACCACTAGTAAACTTTGATCTCTGTATACTTGTCAATTCTACAAGAGTGAGCCAAAAATTATCCACACTCTGGTTGTATTAAAATGCCCATCCACATCCAGAACTGATGACAACATTGAGCATTCACATGAAATGATTCTGTTGAATAGACGAGTGACAGTGGATTATGTGGCAAATCATTTGCAAATCAGCCACAACTCTGCCTATGAAATAATCCACTACAGACTTGGGTTTCAAAAAGTTTGTGGGTGATGGATACCAAAACAACTCACAGAAGACCATGAAACAGAAGCGTTTGGACATCTGCAAACAAAATTTGGACCAATACTCAAAGGAAGGAAAAAGTTTCTTTAAAAAAATCACTACTGATGATGAGACATGAATTCATCGCTACGGGCCTGAGAATAAATGGCAGAATATGGAATGGAAACATCCTTAATCACCGACCAAGAAAAAATTCAAATGTCAACCATCAGCTGGAAAATTGATGCTTACAGTTTCCTGGGATTCTCAAGGGCCAGTATTGGAACACTCTCAGGGAAAAGGTCCAACAATCCACAGTGCTCGTTACAGTGAAATACTCACTGCAGAGCTGAAGCCTAAATTTAGGATTAAACACTGAGGACTATTATTCAAAGGCCTTGTGATCTTGCCCATGCTGTTGACACTCTGAAAACATTTGTTTTGAGGTGTTAAAGCATCCTCTTTATAGTGCTGATCTTGCTCCATTGGACTTTCACCTGTTTGATCCTTCAAGGATGACGATTCACCTCTGATGAAGAAGTGAAGACAGCGGTGCATTCATAGCGTTCAGCTCAGCCTAAAACATTTTTGACTAAGGGAATACGAAAACTTGTTGACAAATGGACAAAGTGTGTTGAAAAGCAAGGAGATTAGGTCGAAAAGTGATGTACTTGTTTTTTCTAAAAGTTGATGTAAATAAATTCTACAGTCAGAGTGCAGATAATTTTTGACTCACCCTCATAGATATTCCATATATATAAGTGAAATCATACAGTATCTGTCTTCCTGTGACTGACTTAACGTCACTCAGCACAATGTTTTCAAGGTTCATCCACGTTTGTTGTTGTTACCAAGTGTTATCGAGTTGGTTCTGACTCAGAGCAACCCTGTATAGTGGTGAAAACCTAATAACCAGTCAGTCACCAGTTGTTGTTGAGTTGGTGTGACAGCGCCACATGTGACAAACTAGAAAAGAGTTTTCAGTGACTGGTTTTTTAGATGTAGAGCACCAAGGCCTTTCTTCCAAGGTTCTTTTCTTTCAAGTACGCTTGAATCTCCAACCTTGTAGTCGGCAGCCAAGAGTGTTAACGCTTGTCACCATCCAGGGATTCTGAGAAACTATGAGGAAGATTAGAATCTCTTGCCCAAGTCTCATAGGCTAAATGGCCCAGTCAAGATTAGAGAACTTGTTTGGCCCCAAATCCATGACACCAGCATTTCTCAAACTTTTGGGTCTCAGGATCAGTTTAGGCTTTAAAAAAGCATCAAGAATTCCAAAATCAATTTTTTTTTAAATGTGGGTTATATCTATTGATATTCAGCATATTAGAAATAATACATATTTTTAAAACTGAGAAATTTTTCAATTATGTATTAGTTCATCTTAAAATAGCAATAAATACCCATTGCATGTTTAGCTAGCATATTTTGGGGAAAAACAAAACAAAGGAAATTTGAGAAGAGTGGCATCGTTTTACATTTTTGCAAATCTCTTTAGTGCCTGGCTTAATAGAAGACAGCTGGATTTTCACATCTATTTCAGCATTCAATCTATTATGGTATGTTGTTTGGGTTGAAGTACAAGAAGGAAATTTGGCTTCCCACAAATATGTGGTTGGAAAAGGAAGGGATATTTTCATAGCCTTTTCAAATAAATGTGAATATTCTTCTTTGATGTTATACCAAAACTGACAAGTGGTAGTTTCTTAAAGGTTAGTTGCAGTGTGGAACCCAAAACCATGCCAGGGAGCTTTGTACACTCAGTTACATTAACTCCTAGGAGCCCTGGCGGCACAATACTGCTAACCAGAAGGTAGGTGGTTTAAACCAACCAGCTGATTCTCAGGAGACAGATATGGCAGTAATGATTTACAACTTTGTGTTAAAAAGTTAAAAAAAGAAAAAGATGTACAATCTCAGAAACTCTGTGAGGCAATTCTACTCTAGTCTATGCTATAAGTTGGATTCAAGTCAACAATGGCGGTGTGAGGGTGCACATTAAACTCCACTGGTCTGTCTTACACATGCAACAGAATTTTTCTCAAACATGACCTAGGAAGAGCACACATTGGTCATTTGAAAACTATTGGATCAGTTAGTTGTGTGGATCCTTCTAATTATACAATCTACATATTGTTGTTGCTGTTGTGTGCTATTGAATTGATTCCAACTCATAGCAACCCTGTGTCATTTTCAAGGAGCTGCTGGTGGGTTTGAACCACAGACCTGGTGGTTAGCAGTCCGGTGCTTATCCTACAGCAGGGACTCCAATTTACATATTAAAGTAGCACCCCCATTAATGTCAACATCAATCTCATCACAAAGTTTAAGTGTGGGGAAGATGCCAAGTTAACAGTGGCAG